AAGCCTTTTATGGTGTTTATTACAGCAACAGAAAACAAACTAGGGCAAAATTTTGGTAAATATTTGTTGTGCTTGTTCCTACTAATATCATATGGCATTTAATAAAAAAGAGGGTGGCAAGTTTGCTTGTCGGCCATGTCATTTGCTTACTGGACTATACTCAGGGACAGTTATTAGACCTATGTAATTTATTTGCAAATTAGAAATAATGAAAAACACTCTCCCAACACCTTTTTACCTGCTACTGTTTTGGAGTCTCTTACATGAGGTTGTTTTATTGAAAGAACCACTTCAGGGCTCAGAGATAGCTCAGCTGATAAAATGCCTTCTGTATAAGCCTAAAGACCCGAGTTCCATCCTTGGCACCTACATGAGAAGCCTGTGTGGTGGCATTCCCTTTTAATTGCAGAGCCAGAGAGGTGGAGACAAGAAGAGCCCTAGAGCTCAATGGCCAGCCAGCCTAGCCTCATCAGTGAGCCCCAGGTCCCAATAAGAGACCCTGTGTCAAAAACACAAGGTGGGTGACACCAGAGGAACAGCACCCTAGGCTGACCTCTCGCTTCCATGTGCACATGCTTACATACACACACATACACTCGCAAAGAATCATTTCATGTCATAAATTGCTTTGTCTTCTCTACTGTGAATGGACTGATGAGAAGTGAAATGATGGACAGATCAGGGAATGGGTGAATTTATGCATGGTCATCAACAAGAATGTAATGCAGATAGGCTTTGCCTAATCTCCAAGTTTGGGGGCCTCTATTTATTCTATAGCTATAGAAAAGGTGTCTCAATTTTTCCAAAGTACTTGTTATTATTTTGGTCTTCAAATAAAGTAGGCTAGAAAACCTTGAAATTAAAATGGGAATATTTTGATTATCCCTAAGGGTCTAGTATAATTTCAGATGAATTCAAGAGTTAAATTAGTTAATTAAGCCCAGTTATTTCGAGACTGTAAGCAGGTTCAATTCTATCTAAATCAGATGACTAGGGACTCATTTATCATCCACTTAAATAGCAAAAATGTAACATCTAACTTGATGTTTTGTGCCTTTGTGAAGATAAATGTGTATCCTCAAAATAATTAGAAAGTAGCAAAGATTTTTTTTCTAGCAAAGTTTTAAGGAAATGAATCCTGTCAGATAACCGTTCTGAAAGTCCAGAGTTGCTGCTTCACTGCAGTTCCTGGAGTCACTATGGGGAAATCCAGAAAAAGACTACTACTTCAAAAGTAGACAGGGCAGCCTAACCCTTACACGTTGTCAATTAAAGGAGTGGTTTTCTGTCCCATAGAAAGAAATCTGTCTTCTAGCCTTCCATGGTTATTCTTCTGTCCCCAGCTTTGTGGCCTTCTATGTTCAGCTATCTGCATAATGAAGACAGTCATCTTTGGCACTGCCAGTCCCATTCTGAGGCTGTAACCTTCTGAACCACAGTTACAGAGATTTGCAAAAGCCAATCTTCTACAGTCAGAGATTTAAAGCTTCCTCATAAGTGAATGCCATGCACAATTAATTGGCAATAGAATAAATTTGGAGCCAGGATAGAAGCCAGCATGCTTGCTTGTTTTCAAAATGAATACTTTGCTGTATCTGATACTGGAGAAACTCCGGGGTCTTCAGTCCCAGGGATTGCTCTCAAATTCATTTAGTGAACAGAAACTTACATCAACAGATAAGTTCATGATTTATTCCTCATGGGCTATTGTCACATTAATGTGTAATTTTGCATTATTCATAGCTATATATTGACTTGTTGAAGCAACCTGGATCCCACATGTCAGCAACTCAGGAGTCCTGGTTATAAATTAGACAAACATGATGCTCTGGCAGACTTAATCCATTTTAACAATAAAATCTAAATGGTAGATGATGCTTCAGTAACTTCTCTGTGGAAGATGGTAGAGCACTATGAGATGACTGGCCTGCATGCTTGAGAGGTGGCTGGCCTGCATGTGAAAAGAATCACCTGTTTCTGCATTTGCCCTTTGAGGTCAATCTTCAGGACCCACTTGAAAGCCAAGCATGGATGCACATGCTTGTAATAAGAGTGTTGGATTCTATGAGGACATCAACAGTGGCAAATGAACTCTGCACTCATCAGTGTACCACAAAGAAACTGCTTGTTAGATGGTGATGAGGGAAGGAAATCCTGCCTCCTCCCACCAAAGTGCCATTGGACCACATTTCCAGAGGGGGTAGAAGTGTTTATGTGTGGTTGTGTATAGATGTTCGTTTCCAAGGGTATGTCACTATGCAGAAGACACAAAAGTCCTAGTGATTGTGTAGCAAGTACAATAATGCAAATGTAGAACACTCAAATAGAACTAGATTCATGGTCTAGGCTGTGATGACCTACTCCCACCCCATACCTAAGCCTCAGTTTCCCTATATACAAAATGAATGGATGTCATAGAATGGTCAGCCCCGACCCTTCCTCTTGTCACACACTCTTCTCAATCACAGACTCCAGGAGAAGAAGGGTCCATAACACTTTGTTCATTTCAAGTACAAATAGGCAAGAGTCCCTTGGTGCTTCCCACACTGTGAGCAGTGGTACAGGAAGAGGTCCAAAGAAATGAAGAGAAGGTGTGCCGATGGCAGCTATCTAATGCTCTGTGAGAACTGGTTCTCAAAGTGACCACCTGTCTACAGCTTCTCACTTTCCCCCATGCCTTCCTGGCAGACCTAAATGACCATAATGCAGATCTATTTTTGACTTATGAATTACATTTTTCAGTTACTATAAAACCTTCTTAAAGTTTGCTGTCCATCTCTGGTCTTTTGTTGTCACAGGCCACACTTGCAGAGTTTACCTCAGTTCCCTCCTCCTTGCTGAAAAAGTCCATTGCGTGTGACTGTAGCCTCCCTCCTCCTACTTCTCCCTTTGAAGCTCCCCTTTCTCACCTGTTCCTTCTGTACAGCCCTGGTCACATTTGCTTTTCTGTGATGCCTACTTCCTTCACATCTTCACAGTAGCGTCCACAAGCTACTTCACATCCACGAGCTTCCTCTATGCTTTCCCATGGTGCCCCTCTTCTTTGCCTGATTAACCTTTAAAAGTGGTACTTCCTGGGCTGGTGTCAGGGGGATTCATCAGCTGATAAAGTTCTTGCCACATAAGCATGAGTACCTGAGTTTGCTCTCCAGGTCCCATTTGAATATGCTGGATGTGGTGGCACACACTTGTAATTCCATCACTGTGGACACTGAGAATTACGTATCCCTGGGGCTGATGAGCCAGCTTACCTAGCCTAATTGATGAACTTCAAGCCAGTGAGATACACTACTTCAAAGGAGATAGACAGTGTTCCTAAGGATGACACCCAGGTTGGCCTCAAGCCCCCAGACACATGCACATCATTATTAAAAATTAGATTAATAAAAAAGCGCTTCATGTGCTGATAGGTCTTGTCAAGTTGCCACAAACAGACATGTCTAGGATGAAGGAATTTCTGTTGAGAAACTGCCTCCATCAGATTGACCTGTCAGCATGTCTGAAGGGCATTTTCTTGATTTCTGATTGATATGGGAGGGCCTAGCTCTCTATGGGCAGAGCCATGCGTGGGCGGGTAAGCCTGAGACATATGAGAAAGGTAGCTAAGCTAATTACAAGGAACAAGAGAGTAAGCTGTATTGCTTCATGGTCTCTGCTTGAAGTTCCTGCCTCAACTTCCCTCAATGACAAACTATAACCCATAAGATGAAATAAACCCTATCCTCCCATGTTGCTTTTGATCATGGTATTTATCGCAACAGAAAGCAAACCAGGTCATTTCTCTAAGGGTCTGGCCTAGTGCTAGAGCTTTGAAGCAAGTGCTACATCTGAATGGAGTGGAAGATTTCCTTAACATTTCGTTGTTTCATGTATGAGATGGGGCTCTTCATGAGGTCATTACATTAGCATATTCTTGAATGGTTTGGGGCAAGGTGGAATGTGGGGCTTTCTGGGATATTAGGCATATGACTTCCCATTCAAAATAAGGAGAAAGGGCTGAAAAGGGATGGGGATGTCATTTTTCTCACTTTCTTCAGTGACCCTCTTTGTCAACCTGAGCTTAGGGAGACTTAAGGGGTGAAATTGCAGAACCAGGATCCAGCTAGATTCAGTTCTCCTCACCCCCTCCCCTTTTTTTAATATGTCCTCTCACTGGCCTGAATTGTCTCTCCTCCTGTCTCTACCTTCCAAGTTCTGGAATTAGAGATGTGCACCACCATGCCAAGCTTTTTCATGTGAATTCTCGAGATGGAACTGGGGTTCTCATACTTGCATGGCAAGTACTTTACCCACTGAGCCCTCTCTCCAGCCCCCAGTGACAGATAGCTTAGCTTTTCTGAGTCCCTGTGCCCTCATTGCTGGTAACATGGAGGTTCAGCCTTGTGACCTGTGGATTCACCTCCAATCAGAAATTCTGTAACTCTTTTATGTTGGTTTGAATCATTTTCAATTACTGTTGACCTCTCTCTTCCCATGGTCCTGTAGACGAATTTCTAAACAGTCTTATTAAATAAGAAACACAGAGCCAAATATAGGGGTGAAAGCCATAGAGATCAGAGAGATATTGAGGGCCACCAGCTAACCTTACTCACTGCACCACCGTAGCTCCCCTGAGAGAACCAGCTTCTTCCTGTCTAAGCTGTGCCTTTATTGCCTTGCTGTTCTGCCTTCTCATTGGCTCTTAACCCAGCCACCTCACTTCCTTGTCACTGCATGCCTATACACACCTCCAGGTCTCTATGGTTGTTGGTACTGGGATTAAAGGCGTGGGTCACCATGCTTGGCTGTGTCCTTGAACACACAAACTCTGCCTGCCATGTGATCAGCTTAAGGGCATTTGCTACCAGTGCCTGACTTCTGTTTATGACAGGCTATGACCTCTGATCTCCAGGCAAACTTTATTTATTAACATACAAATAAAATATCACTACATTTCAGCACAAATAATATATCACCACATGGTCCTGTTTATTTGTTAACCAAATTTTGTTGTTTTCTAGTGCTGCATTCTGACTAGTGGCCAAGCACGTGACATTCCAAACTTCAGCAAAGGTACAGTAAGGTAAGTGTCTTTTCTAGTTGACTCTTTGTTTGAAGGGAAAATTGATGGCTTGATCTAAAAAATCAATCAATGAGAAATACAAATTATGAGTTGGTTTTGGAACAACCTAAATTTTCTACTGTGTACATCACCTCATCCCCTTCAAGAAGGGTTTTACCATGGCGTCTTTGTACATACATGTCATTACAATTTGTCCACATTTATTCTCAGACTGTGTGTATCTCAATATGACTATGCAGACATGCTCAATTGCTCAGTTGTGTCTTAATAGAAACAATACGGTGTCATTTCCTCATCTTATTCAAATTTAAAGTAAAAGCATGCTAACTAAATTTGAAACAAGCTGACTTTATTTTAAATATATGTGCATGTATGTGTGTGTGTGTATATATAGATATGATAAATAGATGATAGATAGATAGATACATAGATAGATAGATAGATAGATAGATAGATAGATAGATAGATAGATAGATGATAGATAATAGATAGATAGATAGTTTGATAGATAGATGACAGATGATAATTTGCTTCAACAACATCAGAATGCAGAATATTTGAATTATCAGCACAAACATATCACTTGTGTGTGTGGGTGTGTATTCTTGAATAGCTTCTGGGGAGGTGACTTGCTTCTGCAAATCTCCTAAATTTAACAACTGTCCTTTGATTTATATTGTCTTTGTTCAGTGGTCCAAATTCAGATTGTGAGCATAAAGAAAGAGCAAGAGTATGAAACAGCACAATTTTCTTCCCATGTTACTGCAGACAATAATTTTTTTCTATCCAGCAAACACTGTCACTACCCTACCAAATGCATTCTTCCTTCCTGGCCAATCTTTATGCTGTGAAGGACAGCATAGCACCAACTAAAAAGTTCACATCATGATGGGCATGGTGACTCTTACCTATAACTCTGGCACTCAAGAAACTGAAGCAGGAAGATTGTCATGAACTTGAAGCCAGCCTAGGCTACATAATGAGTTTCAGGCCAGACAGGCTGCCACATGAAATCTTGTCTCAGAGGAAAAATAGAACAGCATCCCATCCCATCTTCCCAGTACTCTTCACTGTAGCTGTTTGACACAGTTCTAACCAGTGGGTTCTGGGTAAGAGCCCTAAAGAAAGTTTCCTTAGGAGGAATCGATGTTGATATAGTTTCCTTTGCTTCTGTCTCAGACAGATGCAGCACAGCCATAGGGGTCAGGAGCAGAAAGAGAAAATGAATGTAAGCCCTGAAGAGACTGTGGACACACACACACACACACACACACACACACACACACACACACACAGCACACACACAGGCACACACACTTGTACACACACATGCAGACTCATGCACTGATTTGACAGAGCTTATTGGGTCATTGACCTTCAGATTCAAGCTCATTCAGAGCTTTCACAATGAGCCTTTATGCTCAAACATCTGTCCACATTTGACTTAATCTTCAGAGCAGTGTGATAGGTTGCATACTTCTTTTATCTGCATTTCACAGATGATGAAACAGCTCTAAGATGTTAATAACTTTGTCCAGTCAGTGGCTTTTGTGATATTTGCACTTGGACTATTGGTTGTCCTTCCCCATGTTGTGCCTGGTCCAGTCCTGACCTTGGCAGTATGCTGCCAGGAACCTGAGCTGTTGCTGGTTATGTTTTTATAGCTACTAAGTGGACCTGCTCAACTAAGAAATGCTTTGTGAATTCATGAGATTTCCATTAGATTATTCCATTAGATTATTATCAAATTAAGTGAACCAAGTGAATATATTCTTTTCTGGGTAAAAATAAAATATATGCAAAAAACATCAGGTCTGGGAGCACGGAGATGCATTGGAGTTGCCTATGAATCCTGAGGAAAGCAATAAATACAATAGTAATTTCTAGCATCTTCTATTGCATTTTGTCCTTTTGAAATAAACGTTTAGAAGGCATGGTCTATGTATGGCCATCAAAATCCGTATTTTATCCAATGATCTCAACCTCAAATACTCTTCTCCATGCAGCCATTATTTTCAATCATGTTTATTTGTTTCCAGAAAAGAAATAATGCAGATATAAACTAAGTTATGTAATGAAATTTCTTTCCAAGAAAAAATCATGCCACATGCTGGGGAAGGCACTGAGCTGCATCTGGGGAGAAGGGACTAAATAATGGGGAAAATCCCTGGGCTGGAAATGAAGAAGACAGGCTGATAGCTCCTCTCTATAGTTTTGAAAGTCATTTCACCTTTCCAGACCTCTGTTCTTTGTTTGTAAGTGGAGAGTGTAAAGATGTTCTTCCAGGTTCATCACACAAAACTGTTGCTCACTTCCTTGGGTTTTCACTGATATTTAGGAAAGACCAGTGTCTCTTTCTGGCCTGGGATCCTTGGGTTATCAGCTCCTCCCTTTTCCCTTCACTTTCCTGCAAATACATACTGGGTCTCTGGTATCTTTTGCCACAGCCTTCATTACTCTAAGGCATCCTGCTGCCTCTCAGACAAGGGCATTAGCTTCTGATGGCCACTTGACTTCCATTCAGGCCACATAAAAACATATCTGGTACTCATCAGAGTACACTCTGAGGAACCTAATGAGACCTGCTCAAACCCAACTGTGCTTTCCCATGCATTTGCAGTGAGCCCTGTCACACTGCCATGAATTAGCACATCTGATGGGACCTGACTCACTCGTTCTTATTCCATTTTGCTTCCTTATCTCTGGCTTCACTCTTTCTTTTCTTGAATGTGTCTCGTTGTCTTCTCCCCTCGGGGCCCTGGCACAGCCCTCTAGCACTTGACATCGCTTGACACTTCCAGTCATCATTCACTTTTCCCTAGCGCACGCGTGCGTGTGTGTGTGTGTGTGTGTGTGTGTGTGTGTGTGTGTGTGTGTGT